AGTATATATTATATCTTCATCACACTATCATCTTGTTTCATCTAATAGCTTCAAATACTTATAACTTAATAAATAAGTTTTAACCAATATTTTTGTATATTAATTTTTATGTTTGTTTGGATTCTAAAATCAATTCTAGAATCAATTTTACAAAAGTATTTTATGAATATATTAACAGTCTGTATATATCATTAATGTATATTAATTACATAAATATATAAATATATTACCTCTACAACATCATCATCAGATCTAATATCAGATGTCCTATAATCATTTGGTTGATTGGTTAGATTTTGATTTGTATTCTGCATTGCATAAGACATTTGGGACAAATTGGGTATCTGAGTTCTTATTTGTATCGGATTTATATTTGGATTCTAATTTCATAAATCCTCAGTTAAAAAAATTGATAAAGAAAAACATGTTTTATATTTAAATATTATCAACAAAAATTTAAGAAATTACCTGATTGATTATTTGATTTGCAGAATTTTGATAAGCTTGTCGTTCCCAATAAGTATACATATCTGCCAATACACGATTAGTCATCATTTGTTGAGTTTCTGGTGTTGCATTAGGATACTATAAAATATAAATAATTAATAAGTCAATAGATATAAATAAAATATTTAAATTATTAAAATAAAATCTAATATTCTACAATAAATATTCTAACATCTTTTTGAAGAAGTTCCCGAAGTTTTTCGTAATCTGTATTAATATTAAATGTCGATGGTACATTGTATTGATTTAATATTGCATTATATTGATTTAGGATTGTTGGAATTGCTGAATATGATGGCATTGGTTTTCCTTTCTTTTCTTCTTCATATTCTAACCAAGCTTGCTTTCTTTCTTCTTCATTCAATTCTTCTTCTGCCTGTATTTAAAGTAAATTCGTAAAGAAAACTATTTTAATAAATATAAATATATATTATAATATAATATAACAAATTACTTTATTTTCCAAAAGAGAATCATGTTCATGATAATTTTCCACAAAATTTTTATATATTAAAAATATTTCTGCTAATAATCTATCTTTTGGTAAATTTAAAGTCGGTTTTTTTCCATTATTTATATTTGGTTCAAACGAATACAATTCGCTTAAATCATGATTACTATAATGGCGTTCAATTTGTTGCTCGTCAACAACTCTGCAAGAAAGCGATAGTTTTGTTACTTGCCGATTATAAATCTTTTCTTCCATTGTTCCAGCTGCTAGAAACCGATAAACATAACATGGTTTCTTTTGACCAAATCTATATAAAAAAATATGTCTTAATAATTATAAAATTTTATTCAATTTTTTAAATAAATTAAAATAAATTTTTAAATATATACCTATATATACGAAATATACTTTGAACATCATGTGAAGGATTCCAACTTGCATCAAAAATAATAACACGATTAGCAGCAGTTAAATTAATTCCTAATCCACCTGCTCTAGTTGAGATTAAAAATAATCTTGCTCTTGTATTTGATGGTTCATTAAATATTTTGCACCATATATTTCTATTTTCTGCAGATGTTTGACCATCCAATCGAAAATAATCTAAACCCAATGACCAACTTCCAGTATGTCCATCAATATAATCTGAATTTATACCGTTTTGTGTTGCATTATCGATTTTCTCAAGAAACTGTTCAATTAGAGTTAACGAATATAATGATTGTGAAAACACCAACCTAAAATCATTAAAAATTATATATCATTTTGAAAATGATATATAAATTATTTTTTCATGATATAATAGACATACACTTTATCTCCAATTTGTTCACATTCTTTCAAAATTCCAAAAAGAAGTATCAATTTAGAAGAAATTCTCATATCTTCAAAATGTTCAGGTTGAACAAATTGTGACCACCACTCTTCTTCTTTTTTTTCAAATTCTTCGGATTTTGGAATTATTTCAATTTCTAGATATAAAATTACAATATATATATATATTATTTTCATATATCATATATTAATATAAACAAAATGTTACCAGATTTATTATTTTTTGAATTACGTCTTGTATTTTTTCCTACAACATTGTAGTCAATACTTTTTACTTCATCATCTTCATCAGTAGTACTTATATTACTACTTGTAGAATCTGTTTCTCTATCATTAATAAAATCTCGCAAAGAACCCTCAGAATCACTGGAATCTAATCTCTTTTCATTCATTTTTTCTATTTTTTCTGCATTCAATTGTAAAACTATAGGATGCGTCCATATTCTTTGTAATGCTTGAAAATCGGCGAAAAGAGATCCATTGGCATTACGTATTCGCCTGAAATAAAAAATATTCGTTAAATTTTGCTGAAGTTCAATTTCAAAATCAATTCGGATACCTTGCAAAATTATCCAAATAATATTTATACATATTAATTTGCACTTCTGTTAAACTAACAAAAATTACATATTCTTGTTTTGGTGGTAAAAATGGTGTTAATACAGAATAATCAAATCTTTGTACACAACCCTTTAACATCTTATGCAAAACATATGCACGTTTTTTCATTATTTTAACGTCATATTCAGTAGAATCATCGAATTGACCATTAGTTATTGGATTTGCAAATCTATTTAAAAATTCTCTCTTTGTACCTAAAAGATTTGGCTTTACAAATTGTACCATACAATGATCTGAAATATATTAGTTTTAAATATAGTATATTAGTTTTAAATATATTAGTATAATTTTTATTTTATTATCTATTATAAGACATTTAACTAAATAAATATTAAATTATTTATATAAATACTTATTATTCAATAAAAATTAATTATTACATTCTATCAAATTGTTTTGAAGTGGTGTTCCTGTAAGTACAATTCTACGTAATGTTCTAATTCGTTTTATAGATTTACTAAGTGCAGTATCTTCGTTTTTTAGTAAATGACCTTCGTCACAAACTATCATATCCGGACCAGGATCTATTAAGTATCGTAAAATTGCTTCTTTCATATTTTTTCTCATTCTATTATTTGTACCAGTGAGATTTCTAAACATTTCATAACCAATAAGAAGTATACCACCAGTTCTTTGCCAACTTTCTAATTGAAACTTCCGTTCTACATTTTTCTTTAATCTTTAACAAATTTATTAATGAATAAATATCATGTAATTATTTATTTACTAATTACTTTACTTGTATAAAACTCACTTAGTCATTTCATAAATTTCGATATCATTTTCTATATCATTTAACCAATATTTAAATTCATTGAGCCAATTAAGTACTGTGCTCAAAGGACAAACGATCATAATTGTTTTAACGCCAGATTTTTCATGTATTAAAAGTGTATGCGCCAGCGCAATTACTTGAAGACTTTTTCCTAATCCCATACAATGTGCAATTATACATCCAGATCCAGGAGAACAGTTTATTCTTTCCAGTGATTCAAAACATGCATCCCACATGAACTTTATTCCTTTGGCTTGATGAGGTTTCAAACGTTTCACTAGATCTTTATGAACAATTATCAATTCTTCTTTTGTTTCAGGATTAAAATCCAATATTAGTTTATCTACTTTTTCTTCTCCAGCCAATCTTACTTCATACATTTCATTATACTATATTAAAGAATAAAAAAAATGATCATTTTTAATTCTGATATAATCAAAAATTAATTATTTAAAAATACGCACTAATTTTTGTCTCTCAGCAATACGTTTGAGTCTTTCTTCCTCTTCTTTAGCAGCTTGTTTAGTATCATCTGTAACTTGCTTATCTTTCATTACTTTTCGAATATTTTTCCGACCTTTCTTTCCAGGTGTTCCTTGAGAGTTTATAATTTGATCGTTATCACTATCACTATCACTGGACATGTTTTTAATACGTTTTCTCTTTGGCTTAGATCTAAATAAATGTATAAATCAATATAAAAAGTTATTCATCAAAAAGTATATATATGTATTATAAATCAATATAAAATTTTTTAAAATATATCTTATAAAAATTGATAATTTAATAGAAAAACTATCAGAATAAAGCAAAAAGATATATGATAATAAATTTCATTTTCATAGAAACTATGAATTATTATTACAAGAATAATTAGTGATTTAAAATTTTGTACAGTAGTATATTCCTTTTAAAATTAATTATAAAATATATACCTTTTTTCTGTAAATGAGGAATCTGTATCAGATGATTTATATGTTTTACGTTTACGCACTTTTTTTGGCTTTCCTACTGAAGTATCGCTATCTGATTTATTATCTTCTGATGTGACAGAAGATTTAATATTTGTATCAGAATTTAAAAGTTGTATATCTGAATCAGAATCTATAATTTTTCTACGATTTCTTCTTTCACGTTTCATAACTTTGTTTTTGATAGCTAAATTTTCACTATTAAAAAAGATATTATAATTCATATTTTATTACTAATTCATATTCTAACAATTTTATTTTAAGTAACTCACACATGAGTTTCTTCCATCTTTTCTGATAACTCTTCTTGTTTTTTATTCCATTTTGTCCTTGTAATATCAGAATCCGAATCTGAAGAAAATTTCATTGTTAATAATTTATTTCGTCTCCATTTGTTTTTCTTCCATTCTTCATCATTTTCCTATCAAATTAATTAATATTTTAATATAAATAATAAATTTATTGTATTTATTTATTTTAAATGTTACCTTATCACCATTCTTTTTTTCTGTTTTCTGATTTGATTTTTTTGAACTACTTTCTGATTTTATTTCATTTTCACTATTTTCAAAAATAATTTTTTGTTCACCTGAATTAAAATATATTAAATTTTATATAAAAAATTAATGTGCATATTAAAGAAAAAACAATTTTTAATTCTATATTTAAAAAAAACTAATCTAATATTTACCAATATCAGAATCAGAAGAATATAAAAGTATTTTCTTTGTAGCTGCATCTGCTTCCATTATTAATTCTTTGTTAGTTTGAAAATTACCATATGTTTTTGCAATTGAATTATTATTTTCCATATTAGATTTTTTATTTGTATTTTCAATAAATTCGTCATCTTTCACATTCTTTAAATGATCTAATAAAGAATCTTCCTTTTCCTTTGTTTTATATTTCATCATATTTCTAGGTAAGGAACTTCGTGTTATATCAATATTATTTTTATAATCTTTTTGTAATCTATCCAAATCAATTAAACTGTAAAAATAATAAATTTTACTAAAAATGAATGAAAAATAATTTATTCATTTTATACCTTTTAAATTCTTTACTTTCTAAATATTGTCGTGATTTCTGTAATGCGTTTTTATGTTTTTTAAGAATATTTTCCGGTAATCTTTCAATAATAACTTCAGAAAGCATTTTTAACTTTCTATCTGATCCAATATAGTTTATTTTAAATGTTTGTTGTTTAGAATCGTCTTTTATAGAATCTTTATTTTTGTTTTTAGTTTGTTTTAAAACAATATCATTATCAGAGCTTAATTTTTCGCTATCGTCATTAGAATCATATTTTTTATTTGAATTTTTTTTTATGTCATAAGGACTTGTAGAATCATCTGAATTTGATTCAAGCAAAGTATTTTTAGCACAAGCTTCTTCTTTAATAATTTCATTTTCATCTGATGAATTATTTTTACAACTGGTATTATTTGATATCTTATTTTTTCCTTTTTTTTTATCAAATTTAATTTTTTTCATTTGTAATACATCTTTTTTTTCAAAACTATCACTTGTATTAGACTGTTTAATAAATTTTTCAACCAATGATTCTTCATTTGTAGGTGTTTCTGAATCTGATTCTAACATTGCTCTTTTAGCTTGTTCTTCATCATCAACTTCATCTGAAATGTTATTGTCTTCTTTTTCAACAGATTCTGAAATTTCTTCAGAAGTAATTGATTTAGATTTTATATTTTTAACTTCAATTGCACACAAATTTATACTTTTAACTTCTACATTCAATTCATCATTTTTCAAAGAATTTTCATTTTTATTATCGTTATTTTCTTCATTTTCTTTTGATTCTAAATTTTTTTCATTTTCATGTTCATCTTTTAAATTGACATCATCTGTATTTTCAATTATACTTTCTTCAAATATATCATTTACAGATTCGTTTATGATGTGTTCATTTGAAGATATGTTAAATTCTTTAAACTTTCTTTTATTTTCATCAATTATTTTCGAATTATCGTCTGCATAAATTCTATTTCCTTTTTTATTATTACTGCCTAAGATAGGAGATATAATACGATTACTGTTTTCATTGTCATTTGTTGATTTTTCTGAAAATTTTGCAACTATTGTATCTTCGTTTTCTCTATTTTTATCAATGTTTATTTTCATAATATTTGTTTCAGTATCAGAAAATATTTCTTCATTATCACATTCAGAAACTATACTTTCCACATTTGAACTACTTTTTGATGTATCTGATTCTTCTTTATCCTCTATCTTTTTTGTAACTTCAATTTCATTTAAAGAATTATCTCCATGATCTAAATTTTGTACTTTACATTTTTTATTCCATTCTTCATAAAAATTTATTAATTCTTTTTCTTGTGCATCAAGTTCTGTTTTAAGATTATTGATCACGTTTTTTGTTTTTTGTATAACATTACTTACTGATTTCTGATATATTAATTCTTTTTTAAAGTATTTGCATTTAACATGTTCCATTTGTAATTCATATCCTGAACAAGCTTGCTTAAATTTATTAAAAATTTTAACAACATGAAATTTTAACTGTAAACTTTGTTCTTTGCTAATTTCAAACTTTTTTTCTGATTCTATTATACTTTCTAAATCTGATTCAATAGAAATTACATTGTCCTTTTTAGCTTGAGTTAATTTTTTTGTGATATTCAAACCAGTACGGGAAATTTTTGATTTTTGGAATTCTTTACCAGAACTAGAATCTTCTCTATGGAAATTGATAAAATGTTGTTGTTTTGACTTTAGTGTTAAATGTTTTTTTTCTTTTTTATTAGTATGTTTTTCATAAATGTCATCTTCTGAATCATTGTTTATTTTTTCATTCTTACTGTTTTGTTTTTTTATATTGTCATAATTTATTTTCTTATCTTTTACATTGTTTTTATGCTTGTTAATTTTTGAAAGTATTTTATCTGTTTTTTGATAATCATTTTCACTCTCATCTGTAGTAATTGTATAGAATGTAGATTTTTTTCCATGTTTTGATTCATTAATATTATCTTCATCATCAGATGATTTATCAACTGAATTGTCACCTAAAAATAATTTTAAAGCAATATTTTTTAATTTTGAATATTTTTTCTAATTTCTTTCTATAAACAAATTTTTTTGTATTTAACTTACATGAATTAGATTTAAGAAAAAAAGGTCGTACATCTTCGAGAGAACTGGAATCATTGTCACATAATGACTTCATTGAATTTTGCAACTTCTTTACTTTTGCAAATCTCTGTTTCATAGATATTGAAGGATATTTTATCTCAGATGTTTGTGAATATTTTTTTCTAGTATTTTTCCTAAAATCAAACATAAATTAATAAATTATTAATATATGTGAATAAATTATATAAATTTAATTTTCTAATACAAATCAATCCATTATATAATTAATTAAATAAAATTTCTTTCAAATATTTATTTCTATAATAAAATTTTTAAAAATTAGCTCATTAATTTATTTTCTTTATTATGTATACTTACTTGAAAGAAGAAAACATAGTGATTGTAAAATAATTTTTGAAAAGACTTTGAATTAAATGTAAAACATTTTCATTTTCAAATTACAAAATTCAAAAGTACCATTTAAGTTTTTATATTTCTGAAAATATTTACAGCTTCACATTTATAAATTAATAAGTAAATTTTTATAAACATTATTATCATTACTATTTTTCTTTTATTATTTATTATTCTTAACTACTCAAATTATTTTATTCTTTCTGTGTAAAAATATTATCATATAACAACATTGATTATAATAATATTATATATATATATATATATATATTATGATTATAATAATATTATATATATATATATAACAATAATAAATAGAAAAAAATATATTTTTTATTTTTTAATTATATCTACATAACATAATATAATTATAAAATTAATGAAATTAAAATAATAATAAGTTAAAAGAATAATATTGTGCAAGATTTTTTATTGATATGTTAATTATATATTCATATAAAAATATATATATAACTTATAATGTTATATATTCATCTATTGTCTTTTATGTATTCAAATTTTTGTTTTAAATCTTGTCTAATCAATGAAATATTTTTAATGAACTAAAAATTAATAACAAATTGTTATTATTTTATTTTTGTCAAATTATAATTTATTATATCAAAAATTATATTTAAATTGTAACTCGTTTATTTTGCGAATGAGTATATGATTACTATTACCTTTACATATTAATTAAGATAAAAATAAGCTTAATGTTTCAATATTTGATATGTTAAATTTTAATAAATACTTTATTTTTGTAGTTTTATATTTATATGTTTGTATTACATTGTTTTACGTATTACAATATTTATTAAATCAATTAATTCAAAATGAATTTTTTAATTTTAATTTTCTATAAAATATATCAATTGATACCAATTATTATATTTAAATAATAAAAAAGCATATAATTAATGAAAAAACTCACATTTAAGAATATAATGATTCACTGAGATAAATATGGTTCACCTGATATTACTGACCTCTGGGGATAGAACCCATAACTATGTTTAAATATATCAAATGTAAAATAATTCTACAATTTTTACATTTATCAATTATTAAGATTTTTAAAATATCTTTTTTGGCATATATCACTTTTATTATTTACATCATTTTTATTCTTAAAAATACATTATTTAATAATAAATAAATACATAAAATTATGATAAGAAATATACACATATTTTACACATTATATTATTGATTATATCATTTATTAAAAGATATTTTAAATTTGAATTTAAGATTCCTCAGCAGTTATTTCCATTTCTTGATCTTCTAAAATATAATTATGTAATCTGGACAAACTCTTTTCCTTTGGAATATAATATTTAGAATTCAACATTCGGTTTTCTTCAAGTGCAGGTACATCACAAAAAGGACACCTCGTTTCTTTAAATTCTTGGTCCAAACATGGATGAAAAATTAAACCACATATTGGACATGTTTTGTATGGCACCACAGTTATTTGTAAAAGAGTAATAGCACATCTAGGTAATATATGACCTTGTGAACACTTACTAACTTTCCAGGAAAGATCATTTATCATTTCACCACATAGATTGCAAGTCTCAATATTATTTAAATTGTATTGAGATATTTTTTTTAAAACATCTCTAATACGCTTGGAAAGTGGAGTTACTTTCTCATTTTCTTCTCCAGCCAAATATACTTCTAAATACATTTTTAATAAATTCATGGAAACTTTTTGCTGTTCTATCAAAGAAGACTTATTTTCAAGATGTATAAGATAATTGCATGCAGTATGAATAAAAATTAAAGGTTGAGCTTCTGATATTTCTCCAGCAATATTATTCATTCCTTGAATGATTTTCCTCTTTTCACAAATTTCCATTATCACAGATGTCCACATTATTATTCGTAATTCGTGCAAAGATAAAAATTCCAAATTAGATGGAACTTTTGGTAATATTAATGATAAGTCTGACGCTTTTGTTGCTTTTATCCTAATTGCTTCTAAACAATCCCACAATTGCTCAAATTTTTCATGTTTACTTTGATTCAAAATAAATAATGGATTCCAATTTTTATTCTTTAAACAAAACATATATATTTTGGTTGGTTCCTTTACTACTAAATGATCGTACATAGTGCTGGGACTAGTTATATTTATAAAAATCACAGAACTTGGAGAATGTGCAAGACCTAGACATCGAACATGAACTTGTGATAATTTATTATTTACTTTTGTTTTCAATAACTGATTTTCTTTTATATCAATTGCAAACATAGAACCGTTTTCTGTTGTGATCAGTGCACAGTTTGTACTTATACAAATTATTCCTAGAAATAATTAATTTTTTTATATAATATTTTTTATATATTATATAATAAAATATCTTTATTTACCTGAAATCATAAAACCTTCTAATTGCAAATGTTGCATACTTCTTAATGTACCATTTTCTTTAAAACATAATAAAAATAGATAATATCCTTTTGCAATAAGAACATTTATATTTAAATCATTTTGAGGAAATATTTTTATAGCACTAATAGCAATACGATCAGTGTAATCATAATATTTCTCAATGAATATTAGTTCAAAATTTTCATCATGCTCTTCAATATTAAGTCCATAAATACGTCCATCAAAATATCCAATAATAATTAAATGTTTCTTTGTATTAATTGTAATCCAATTTAAAACATTCATTTTTACAGATTCATTTAATTTTATTATTCCTACAATTTTAGGATTAAGTATTTCATTATAATCAAATATCTTTAAGATTTTATAAATAATTATATCTCCATTAAGATATGCAACAACAAAATATGCAAAATCTGCAAAAAATTTGCTCCAAGTGAAACAAGAAGCTTGTAATGCTTTCATGTAAACTTTGAATGTTTCAAATGAAACTGAATTATTTTTATTTTCTTCTAATTCTTCATTAATCTTTTGTTCTATAATATTATAACGTAAAGAAGATAAATCATATACAGGATACCAATCTCTACAGATTTTACATGCAATTATAACAGCACCTGCTGAAGTTAAAATAGCAATAAGACACTTGCTTGGATGTATTAAATCTTTTGGTGACCATGCTAAATCAATTATTTTTGGAGTCATTTCTTTTACATTAGATAATTTTGGAGTCATACTTTCCTCAATTATAAATGAATAAAGTTCTTCACGATGCATATTCCAAATTTTGGATTCTATTCTGTTAGATATAATTTCTGTTGGAAATGTTGAAGGTGTATAAATAAAGGATCTAGAGAATTTTATAGTTGAAGAAGGAGATATTGGAGAAGGTATCAATTCCTATATAAAATAATAATTAAATTTATTATTAATTTTAGATATACTATTAACTTAAATTAAACTTACGAATATGTGAATTCCTTTTTCAGTAAGAATAGATATATTATTATCCATAGACCATTGAACTGCGAATTTAGATATTACTGGTGGAAAAATTGTAAGGCTATAAATTTCTTCTATCTCCATTATTTGTTTATTTATACAAGTAAAAATTCACAAAATCTTTCACCTGTAAAAATTTGATATATTGTTAAATATATATACGTTGATATATTTGTTAAATTTGATATAAAAAATTTTTGTGCATAATTTATCAATTATATTATATTATATTATATATATTTAATATATAATAAAAATCTTGAAAGTATATTAAAACTTAATAAATTTTTATTTTTGATATTTATACAATTATAAAATTATACACAAAAATTTAATTTCTACTATTTTTATTTAATTTTTATATATATATNATTAAAATTTATAATCATTCATTTTTTATATTTTTTATTTTTTGATATAAGTACAGTAAGTTATTTATACACATGTATAGTATTAATTAAATAATAAAATTAAATTTTCATAAAAACTAACCTATTGATAGATATTTTTTTAAATGTACATCTTTAAAAAAGATACATTGGTAAGTATATATATATATATATATGTATGCGTGTGTAAATATCTTTAATGAATAATATTGAATTTGTCTTACATAATATATGGTTAAGTACAAATGAGATCATATTTTACAGTAAATTTTAAATTCTCGTCAGTTGAACCAGTTGCAGTTGAAGCTGACAATTATTATGAATTATGAAAAACTTTCATTATGTACTTCTTAATAAAAAATATTACCACACTAATTAAAATCTCTTATAATTAATAATATGCATAATATATGCATATATATAATATATACAAATATAATATATATTTAAATTATATATATTAAATTCATTTTCACATATTTTTCGATTTCTTATAACAAATTAAATTGATATAAATTTATATTGTAAAATAAGATATAACAATTAAAAATAAACTTATTAATTTTTTTATAACATAGAATTAAATAAATTATCAATTTACAATAATAATTTTAAAAGAAACAAAATAGAACATTTACAAAATATTCGTAATTTTGATTTTACTGAATTGTTACATTGAAAAAATTATTGAAAATATATTATAAATTGTTAAAAATGATATAACCAGTAAATAGAAAAAAATAATATTTTCTTAAATTTATGTTTAAAATTTTAAAAAAATTCCCTCATTAACGGGCACCGCAATAGGAGCGCAATTCCTCTGTCGTGCAAGATTTTAGGCAACATTCTTCATGAATTCCTTTAGAGTTTCTTCGAAATCGTATCATTTTTTTCGCATTTTTAATAGATTTATAAGGATATAGATCGTAACCATAAAATGCCATATAATCATCCATCTCCATTTCTGGAAAAAAATTGATTTCTTAAACATTTAAGATCAAACAAATAAGAAGAATGTGATATTGAATTGAAAATATTTAAATTCTTATAACTTTCCTCCATTTTGCATCAATAATACCAACTATAATTCTAGTACTTTTTTTCTGTTTTTTTTTT